AGAATACAGTGGGTGAAAAGAACAGTTAATTCAATGGCTGATGCACTGGCCAAGCAAGGGGTTGGGAGAATTCAAACATTTTGGGCACAACTGTAATTGTAATTGTAACTAAAGTTAAAGGGGAGAGATAAGAGAGCTTGTCTCTCTCTCACTTTCTCTTGTACACTTTCCTTAAAATTCAATGAAGTAATCAGTTATTCATGAAAAAAAAAATGACCTCCACAGTAGATAGTTGAAATAATCGTTACCAATATCTTCAAGATTTCTGCTTTCACGGTATGGTTGAAATTGAATGTAGCCTTCTGCCATCCAAAGCTGGATCAGTTTCTCCTTGTCAATGACATAATCCTTTGGGAATACTGAACAGTATGCAAAGCACTGCTTCAAATGTGATGGTAAATGTTTATAACTCAATCTCAAGGCGGGTAAGATTCCATCTCTTTCCTGAGTCTGAAGTAATTTCCAAATATGGCTGTCCTTGATGAACAACCACTCTGCCTCATCCTTCTTAGAGTGCATCAAGCTTCCCAGAGTCTATTGCTAAAGGCACACCACCACACCTCTTAACAATTTCCCTCCCAATTGCCACCAATGTTTGGAGTATCTTCTGCTCCTCCAGGTGCAAAGGCACACATCTTGAACAAGGACCAGCAATCTTCTTCCGATAGCCTTCCCAAATGATAAGTAGGAAGGTAGGAAGTGAACCCATGATGGATGCAACTTCTTCACTAGGAATGGTTACAATGACTTTGCTCCCCTTTGCACCACCCCTTAACAAAATTCTTAGCCTTTCCCACTTGTCATAATCCTCACACCATACATCATCTAAGACAAGTAAAAATCTCTCCCCACTCAATACCTCCCGAAGACGAATCTGTAGCAGATCCATGTCTAAGAGGTCACATTTGTTCTTAGATGCAGATTCTATAATTGCTCTAGTGAGCTTTCTGACGTCAAAATCCTCAGCCCCACAGACCCAAATTCTTAAATTGAAATTTTCTTTGACCCAATTATCATTGTAAAATAATTGAGAAAGAGTCGTCTTACCTAACCCCCCCCCCCCTGCCAACTATGGGAATGACAGAAATATCATCCAGATTACCCAACCCAGTTAACATATCCACAATTTTCGTTTTATCTTTCTCTTCCTAAAACTTCAGATTCGATGATAAAGGAGTGAGTCTGTTATCTCTCGTCATCCTCATGTTGCTTATTTAGAACCCCCTCCCTGAAGTGAAAATTAATCCTCTCTACAGCAATTGTAATTAGTTTCTTATTGATCTCCTTTGCCCTAAGGCCCATCTTAATATGAAACGCAACTGGATTAGAAGGTGAAAAGAAGCTACATACCCGGCGCTTCATGTGGTTCTCAGTATCAACTTTTAGTCGTAGAGCCTCTGTTGCAAACTCATCCAACAGGTTATCTGCATCATAAACCACATCTTTAAGTTTAGTCAACCAATTCCCCACCGCTTTATCCTTCACTTGTCACTCCTCTGTGTCTTCAAGCACAGCTAGAATGGTTGACAGCACACTCTCTAGCTTCTCTAGCTCCTCCTTAGCTGTTGACCAAAGCACATACTCTTCAACAATAAGCGAAGCTAACTTATGAAACAAAACTGGTAGAAAAGAGGATAGAATTATTTCTGACATCTGTATTTTCTCTTCAATCCTCACTTCTCACAAGGAGATTCAGATTTCTAAAGGTACAGGAGATATTGTTTTTCATTTTCCTTTTTATGTTATGTAATTTGAAGGTTTTATTTTCACTCGGTGACCCCATCATCAACGTATTACCACATAAAAATAAAACAGGGAGACTTGCAAGTCGTCTCTTTTTCACCTACCATTTGGATTTGGACCTCGCTTCGTTTTTCTGGCTGCCCCATGTAAATGTAACTTAGATGATGAGAGTATCAATTAATTTCCCGGAAAACTGATATCCTTGAATGTATGACCTTGGTTAAATAACTTATCCATCAATTTATAAAAGTATTCTCATAAAAGTGATTTTGTAAAAGTGCTCTCATAAAAGTGATTTTATAAAAGTACTTTTATAAAAGTACTCTCATAAAAGTGTTTTTATAGAAGTAAAAATACTTTCATAAAGTGCTTTTATAAAAGTACTTTTGTAAAAGTGTTGTTATAAAAATATTTTCGTAAATGTGTTATTATAGAAGTATTTTTATAAAAGTGCTTTCGTAAAAGTACTTTCATAAAAGTGCTCTCGTAAAAGTACTTTCATAAAAGTGCTCTCGTAAAAGTATTTTTATAAAAGTACTTTTATAAAAGTGCTTTCGTAAAAGTACTCTACTTTTGAAAAGTAATTCTCATAAAATTACTTTTATAAAAATGCCTTTGTAAAATTGCTTTCATAAAAGGGTATAATTGGTATTCTAAAAGTTTACTAGGGACAATTCTAGGAGAAATAATTTGAATAAGTGCTTATTGTATAAGCACTTAAAACAAAAAAGCTGAAAATTTGGGCTTAAAAAATACGGAAAAGTATGGACAGGCCAAATGCAGATTTCTGATTTTCACTGTAGAGCTATAAACATTCAAAATGTCAACAACCTACACCCTATGCACCAACACCTGCCCGTGCTTTGGCATCAATTCCAATCTGGCACCTACCCCAACAGTACTTTGGGCCTACAAATTCTGACCCTGGGCTGAACCGTCATTCTCCCTAAAAAATAAACTCTTATTTTTAAAATAAGCACTAATTTTGGGCTTATTTCCCAAACACCAATAAGTGCTTAACGGTGTGGTCTCCACCCAAATAAGCACTTATTTCGAATAAGCACTTATTTTTAAGCACTCCCAAACATGGCCTAATGATGTTATCTTTCTATTGAAAATTTTAAAATAGAGAACAAGGAATATGCTCAAATAAAATAGCATTTATTTGGGTCTACACCCTCTACTATGTGATATCGGCCATCTGGATCATCCCGATTGTTTAGATATAATAAAGCCCTAACTACAATAAGAGGGGCTAAAAAATGGGCGTCAGGAAATGGAATGGACTAAGGTGTGGATCCTGTGCAGTAACGAATGGACCAACTTTGTATATCAAAACAAATTTGATAGAAAGTTCTACTGCATGAGCCCACAAGACTGCAAGCTTGCAACGTCTACTTAATTCTGTGTAACAAAACAAATTTGGACTTGTCTTCAGTTTCTAGGTGTGCTCTGGGATAAATGAAAGCCCCAAAATAAAAACCTAGTCTCTTAGAATTGATTCAAATCAGGGAAAGCACAATCAAGTAGGAATCAACATCTCATTTTTCATTATCAACAAAAAGAATTGTTACATTCTGATTAGTAAACTGACTTGGCATAATTCAAACATGATGTTTGGCACTTTTCTGAGATCATGATCAAGAGTAAGGATCATCTATAATGTCATCTTTTCCTGCCATCTCTGACGCACAGTGCAAGGCTGGTGTGCCATCCAGGACCTCTATACAAGAGTTCCAAGGTTTTGTGAATCATGTACTGCCTTCAATCCACAAATATAGTATAAACATCTGATGAGATATGGTACAGAAGGAAGCACCTGTTCAGAGCGAAATGCTTCAAATAATGTGAACTTGAAGCTGTGCCATGTGAGATCCATGTTATTCACAGAGACAATACCACCTTCATTGCTAAACCTTTGGTATTAGCCTTTGAGAATTAGCAGAGATCAATTTTGGGTAAAGATTCTAACTGCACAAAAACCCACTTTTTGCACTGTCACTATCAGGTCCAATATGTGCAAGGAAAAAGAGTACTTAGCAGTAATGTAGGAAGTCAATGCCAAACAGAATACTTACCAGCCGCTATACTCAAATCAGAAGTTTGGGGATTTGTTTATTGCACTCTCATCCTGCAAATATCAAATTCAGTCACAAGCATCAATCAAAATAGCAATCACCCCATACTTGGACCACAGTTAAGATTATCAATAGACTGAATCAAAATGGATGTTTGTACCAAGTTCCAAAAGCAGTCAGCAGATGCAAAATGGTTGGATGCCTACAGCAGCCAATTATAAGACCACATTCCAAAACTTGAAGCAGTGATCACTGCAATCAAGTTTAAGACCATCTTTTCCTAGATAAGAAGACAATTTAGGATGTAGAATAGTGACCCTCTCCCTCCTACATCTCACATGGAATTGAGCATGTTTCTTTTTGTCCCTTTTCTTTTCTTCATCTTTTTTTTTTCCTTTCATTTTGTTCATCTTGTCTAATTAATAGCCAGACACCATAAATGATAGAACTAAGAATAATCCATACAAAATAGAATTTAACCAAAACAAAAGAAAAATATGCTTGATTTGGTTCTTTTTTTACTATAAAAAATATGCTTCTTGACATGCAAATCTGCAATTTGCACAGAAATCAGACTAACAATGGAAAACATCCTAGAAACAAGTAATCCCATTAATCACACCGACATTGATGCCTGGGGACAGTTGTATGGGCCCTAAAAGCAAATAATCTGACAAACCCCATCCAACTTGATTGCAGTCTCCATAGGTATATACTCCATGTCACTTACCCACTAGATCATGTAAATTGGAGAAGGAAATCAACCAAAGCATCAGAAGGCATCTCAAAAGGTCCATAAAACCAACTCCCAGGATAATTGAATCGAATATGCCAACATGCATGAAAGCCAACTCAACCAAACCATGAGCAGGTCTCTACCCCGAAAATATAGCATATGCCTTTTTAACTTTTCAAGTCATACGAGTGGTAGTACAAACCGCCACCTAGGCCAGAACAAGGATCGAAATTCCGCAACATGTCAGTCCGTATTGGCCAATATGTATCATATCGGTGACCTACCGAAATGCCACTTTAAGCTTGGTTTCGAGGGTTGACCTGTTTCAGGGGGTAGGCAGGCCTTATACTGCCGCCACCCCCCTCAACAGGTTTGAAAAAATAAATAAATAAAATAAATAAAAGCATCCAACGATACAGACCGATACGCCCCATCCGGCTTATTGATCTGTATCAACATTTAGAACCTTGGTCCAGCATATGGGCAAAACCAAGTCTAATGGCACAGTTCTCCTGAACAGTTGAAAAGAAAAGATGCATTGAAGTTGATCTTATATAATCTGCATCTGTCATGAAGCAATTTGTAAGGACGAGGCAAAAATAAAGTAGACCATACATCTTAGCATCTCCCTTCCCTTTTGCATCCATGAAGTAGTTAATACATCTTAGCATCTCCTTACCCTTTTGCATCCATAAAGTAGTCAATACATTTTAGCATCTCATTACCCTTTTGCATCCAAAGAGAAAGGTTCTATAAGAGCTGGGGAGGCCATAAAAAGATGTGAGAGAGATCTAAGGGCTCATAATTAATACAAAATTTTGTGCTAGGACAGCAATTTGGGTCAGCCCTATGCTTGGCCGAAACCAACCCAAGCTTTTGCACAGTTTGAGCTTTTTTTTGGCTCTGGCTCTAGGCTGGACCTAATCTTTTTTTTTTTTTTGATAAATGAAAGAAATTGATATTAATAGTGAATCAGTGAGCATACAAACAGCCTAAGAAGAGGCACGAGATATGACCTCTTCTTTAAAGATGAAAGCATAAAACTCGCACTAATCTTGAAAACTCAGGCTTAAACTTGGGTTGGGCTTGGATTGAGGCCTCAGGTAGCCTGAACTCATTTGACCTTTCCAATATGTTTACCCCATGTACATGTGTATAGTACATATAGATTGCATATTTATACTATGTATGTATGTATGTTTACACTATATTGCGTACATTGTAGAGTATATTTAAAATAGGTATATGATTAGGGGTTGACAATTTTTGAAAGGAACCCAATGTAAGGCATATGATGTGTAGGGATGCAAATGGATTGGATCATGATCCGATTCTATCCGAGATCCGATCCTATTTGGTCGAATTTGGATCACCCCTGTTTGGACCTTCGGATCCCCCCCTTCCAATCCAATATATATTATATATTTATAAATATAAATATATATAATACATATATGGTATTTATTTATTTATAAAAACTACTTGTATTTTTTTACTTTATTTAAATTAGTATATTTTATTTTTTCTTTTAATAATTTATTAATTTTTAAAGAAAACAAGTCAGATTGGATCAGATCCGAAGATCTGATTTACCAATAGGATTCAAATTCAAATCGAGTCATATCAGATCCGATCGGATCTTCGGATTGGATCCGACATGAATAGTGTCGGATCGGATTCGAATATACCCTGATTCGAATCTGATCCAATCCATTTGCATCCCTAATGATGTGTTACATGTAAGCCTATAAGGCTATAACATAGGCCTCATTAAAGGTTTAGAAATTTCTGTAACAGTACCCCCCCCAAAAGAAAACTTCTTAGGTCGTCCTCTATGTTATCATCCCAAGTCCAGACACATGCACAAATGCTATATATATAATCTGTATAATTTTTTTACCTAATTTATATCTATATGTAGTTTTCTTTTATTCTATTTCCAAATTGGACTATAGAGCTCATATAAAGGATAGAAGTGCAAGACATGAGCAAGAAGAGAGAAGACCATCAAACCCTACCAACCCACCCAGGCCTGTGTTGTGTTGATTTACCTCAGGCTGATATTGGGATGGCCTACTTACGCTTCAGGATTAGGTTGGGCCTAACCTGGGCCCAAGATCCAGGTCATTAGATTAGACCTGGATTGGCCCTAAACCCAGATAAACCTGCCCAAGTTGAACCTTTATGTGGATCAAGATAGAGTGGAATGACAAAATAGGAATTAGACAACAAAAGAGAGAAAAATACAAAAGTCATGATCTGCTGATATGAACATAAGGGACCATAAACACTGCAAAGAAAAAACTCCCCTTGCAGGCATAGCATTCATATACCTAAAAAAAAAGCTTTTACAGCCAATTTCTCTAGCTAATCATATTCCACAAAATACCTTGAATGTTTTCCATATCAGTAACAACAAAATATCAAACATGTTTAAAAAAGGATGGTGATGTAAGATTAGGGCTGTCAATGGGTCTGGTTGAACCCGACGGACCCGAACCGATTGGATTAGTTCTAGTTCCAAGAACTGGAACCGATGAACTGATGGATTGGTTCCAGTTCCTCATATATTGTCCCAATTCTTATCAGTCAGAAACAGTTCCACCCAGTACCGAACCAATTCAGACCCGACCCAAGCTATATATAATACCTATTTAATATATATAATATATTATATATTAAATAAGTTAATATTATAAATAATATTTTCAATAGGATTATTATAATCAGGCCCATCGGGTCAGACCCAATTGTCCCGAAAACCAATTGATTTGTTTCTGGGTCTAAAACCTTATCGGGCCCAATTCAATTTTGGGTCCTTAGTAATTCTTGTCGGGTCAGTTCCGATTCTACCTAGACCCAACCCGTTGACAACCCTATGTGAGATATAGGTTCCAACAGGAGAAACTAAAGGTGGAAGATAACATTGTTTTGAAAACCGGACCAGACCGGATGGTCGAACTGTTTAACCCAAGAAACAGTAAGATCACTCGTTCCATTGAATAGCTATTGTGCAAAAAAACTGTTGAAATGGTCAGAGAACCGCTGACCCAGGTGGTCGAACCGCTAAACTGTTCGACCTGGTCAGTAGTTCACAGTTTAATAAAATATTTAATTTTTTATTTGAAGGATGATTAACGTAGAGAGAGAGAGTTGGGGGGACTAAGACGAGATCTCAGATCTGAGATCACTAAGATGAGAGAGAGAGAGAGAGAGAGAGAGAGAGAGAGAGAGAGAGCAAAAAGGGTTGGAGGAGATGTTGTCGTGCTTTCTGTTGCCACCGGCCCAGCACCGCTGCCACCGTCATCATCGCCGGTAGCATCTCTTTTCTTTCTTTCTTCTTCTTCTTCCTTCTTTTCTTTCGTCTTTCTTTTTATTAAACCATCTGAGCCGTTCGACCCAGACAGTCACACCACTGACCCAGAAACCAATGGTCAAAGCAGTTCCGTCTCCGGGTCGGTTTTTAAAACCTTAGAAGATAATGCTCGCAATAAAGATTTCTTTTGACATGGATCATGAAGGTTGAATTCTGTAATTACTAATCACAAAGAATTGAAAATGTAATCTGTTGTAAGGCTTACTTAATTGTTACTTTATAGTTGCTGTTAGTAGGACAGTTACAGTTACTTGTTTTTCTTCGTTCTTTTTCTTATTGTTCTGATTCTAGGATATGCCACCAGGGGCATACTTGTAATTTCAGATTCTTTTATGAAGTTAATATAAATAGAAAACTGGTGGCAGCCAGTAGTGAACTTTTTTCTCTCAACCGTACCTCTCTCTCTCTCTCTCTCTCTCTCCGAATCACCACATGGTATCAGAGCTGGTTTTCTGGGTTGAAAAAGACCTACGATCCTGGTATCAGGTTTCTTAAAAGTGTTTGGATGTGGCTGTTTCTGCAGAAACCCTAGCAGGTTTCTAGCGGCTGTTTCTGCAGAAACCCTAGCAGGTTTCTAGCGGCTGTTTCTGCAGAAACCCTAGTAGGTTTCTGGCGGCTGTTTCTGCAGAAAACCTAGCAGATTCTGGCGGCTGTTTCGGCAGAAACCCTAGCAGTTTCTGGCGGCAGTTTTTTTTTTTTTGGAAACCCTAGCAGTTTCTGGCGGCAGCTTTTGTGATTTCTTTTTCCTGGCCATAATAGCAATGAAACCCTAGTCAGAGAAGGGTGATGCTGGTGCAGATTCCTCGGTTCTATGCTGTGAAGTCAAGTTCAGATTAGCACCTTCGTACAAGTGCTGAACAGGTGTGTTTTTTGTTTCAGTTTGTCTCAGTCTTCTTTGGCCAATGGTGCGTAGGGCTCATGCCTTGATTATATAGTTATTT